GAAACCTCAGGCTTAAATCAAGGACGCTAAATCTAAAACAGGTGCAACAAATAAACCAAAATCAGTCCAGGGTGAAACATAATGGAAACAATAAACTAGGAAGGAGTGCCCTCCAGAGGCTCAAGCGGGCACTCCAGCCGCAGATCGTCACATAACCCCCCCTCTAAGGAGCGGCTTCCAGACGCTCCTAAGAGCTCCGGAGGGAGGTCGACGGGAGATGGGATGGAGGGCCAGGCCCGTGGAGAGGCAGGGGGCCAGGCCCATGGAGAGACCTGGGGCCTGGAGACCAGAGCAGGGCAAGAGACCACGGGGAGGCACGCTCCGCAAGTAGCCAGGGCGGAGCATGCTTGGCAGGAAGACAGGCTGGAGCATAAGTGACAGGAGAACAGGACAGAGTACACATAACACAGGACCAGGGCAGAGTAGGGGACCAAGACGTGGGGAGCACAGGGCTGGACAGGACCAGTGACATGGTAAGCTCAGGCGAAGGTGGTTGTGCAAAGGTCCATGTAGGCACCACCTCCATGACCCTCTCAGGTGTAGGTGGTAGTGCAAGGGTCCACGTAGATGCCACCTCCATGGCCCTCTTAGGGTACCTATTGCCCCCCCCCCAAAAAGTTCTTGGGGAAATTTAAAGCTAAAGCCTCCGGGCTGGAAACCGCTACTGGAAAAGGCTCCCGAAGCTTGAGAGGCGCAGGTAAGGCGAGGCGCAGAGGCGGGACCGGAAAGGCGAGGCGCAGAGGCGGGGCCGGCAGGGCGAGGCGCAGAGGTGGGGCCGGCAGGGCGAGGCGCAGAGGCGGGGCCGGCAGGGCGAGGCGCAGAGGCGGGGCCGGCAGGGCGAGGAGTCTGGGAACACCCACCGGAGCCTGGCGAACCAAATGAGTCCTCCTTCTCCTCCTGCGACGGCGAGTCACTGGGCTTGATACACTGACTTGACTCACTCATTTGGCTCGACTCATTTGATTCACTCGACTTGGTACTAGATTCACTTGACACGGCACTAGATTCACTTGACTCGGGACTTGACTCACTTGACTCGGGACTTGACTCACTTGAATCGGCGGCACTTGACTCACTTGAATCGGCGGCACTTGACTCACTTGATTCGGCGGCACTTGACTCACTTGATTCGGCGGTACTTGACTCACTTGATTCGGCAGTACTTGACTCGGCACTTGACTCACTTGACTCGGCACTTGACTCACTTGATTCAGCTGGCACGCGCTCAGACTCAGTAGAAAACTCTTGAGGCAGGAATATAACGGAGCTTACGTGAAGTGTTAGAACGTCGGGATTCACATGTTGCGTGGATACGGCGGACCCTTTACGAAGCGCTGGTTCAACTGGGCTTTCATGTAGCGCAAACTCGGCGGAGCACGTGTGATGCACTGGTTCACCGGGAGACAATTGATGCGTGGATTCAGTGGGTACCTTGTAAAGTGGCGAATCGTCGGGTCCTTTGTGAAGCAAAAGTTTCAAAAAATCCACAGTAAAAGCCGAACCGCTCATGGAAAGGGCCAGGTCAATATATTGGGTTAGAGTCCAGCTTGAACACGGAAATGGTATAGCAGAGCCGAGCGGTTCAGACAGTCCTCCCCGAAAGAACATCATCAAACAGAAATCATTCAAGTAGGACTGACGAGAGAGCTTCAAAAAATCTGTCACAAAAACCTTGAGAGGACGTTCTCCTTGACGGAGGCTTACGATCTGCGCTGTGGGATCCATATCGAGGTCCGTGTTCCTCTCAGCCGCTGGATCAGTTGTGGCTCAGTATTCTGTCATGAACTGCACGTGGAACAAGGACAGAGGTGATCCAAATGCAGGCTTTATTGAGAGGACAATCCAGAAACAGGTACGAGAGAACAGGCAGAGGTCAAAACCAGGTAAGCAGTCCAGATCAGCAAACATATAATGCAAGGAGGAGGCAAACGGGAAGACCAGAAACAGGCAGGGAGTCCAGGAACCGTGAAACTAGGAAACACTAAGGAACTAGGAAACACTAAGGAACTAGGAAAACGCTTAGGATGCAGTGAGACACATACAATACTGAGCCCCGAACAAAGGGAAACCTCAGGCTTAAATCAAGGACGCTAAATCTAAAACAGGTGCAACAAATAAACCAAAATCAGTCCAGGGTGAAACATAATGGAAACAATAAACTAGGAAGGAGTGCCCTCCAGAGGCTCAAGCGGGCACTCCAGCCGCAGATCGTCACACTCACAAACATAAATTCATACTAACCCAAATCTTTTAAACACTTCCGTCACTAACCCTTTCAAAAGATACACCGTTGTACCTAAAGAGTGGATATTTACACATTAAAGGTAATACCAAAAGTATACATAAATTGGTACCTGGTACATTTTAGAACCTTTTTTAACGGTACTGTCCTAATTAGGGTTGCAAAGGGGCAGAAAATTTACTGTAAATTTCCGGAAAATTTCCATGGGAAGTTAAGCTGGGTAATTTTGGAAATATTCCATATTAGAAACTTTCCATGGGAATAATGGGAATTTAGGGGAACTAACTGGGAATTCATTGTAATGTAATCGATCATTGTATCATATCCAAGCATAAATATAAACAGAAGTCATAAGAAAACATCCATGCAAAATGTTTTCAACAGATATTTCAACAGATTTATTTGTAAGTAGAACAGAACAAGTTTTAATTATTTAAAATACTTACTTTCATGTATTTCGGGAGAAACTGATGAATTCACGCGCTGTAATAACTTAAATCCAACAGACAGGAATCTCTGAACTGCGGCCCAAACACGGCGCCCATCTCACGTTACAGATCAAGATAACTTATAAAGGTTTTTTAAACTACAAAACAAACTCACTTACACATATTTGAGAATCGGAATAGAAGATAGTTTATGACATGGTAAGCAAGTTTGTTAATATTTAGATCTAAATCTGTCATACAGCGCTATTTTGGCTGTGGTGAATCACGTGCCAAGCATGACACGTCACCATGGAAACCATAAATAGTAAGGCTAGCTAAACAACTGGAATGATCTTGTAAACATATTGCAGGAGGCAGAGAAAAACAGCCACATGAGGTAGCTAGCATCTGCCTTATGTGGTAAATAAAGTTATGCTAGCTTATTTAGAATCTAACTTATCAGCATTGCTACTAGATGAATACATTTGTATGTGATATTTGCAATTTAAACATTTAATAAATATATTTCCCCATAATATCATCAAAACTTACTTCACTTTGTTTAGTCCACAGGCTCAAATGTGGGCCTTCAATAGTCTTGTGCTTTGGGCTTTTGTACTGGTGATGGAGGCATGCACAGTGGCAGTAGGGGGTGTGGTCTCAATAGCCATGCAGTAAGCAGTGTTCTATGTGCATGTGATTGAGGAATGGCATGGATATTCAAGTGTATTTGAATGGCGTCTGTATGTTTTAGTCAAGATTATGCTAAAATATACTTTCCTCAACTATATTTAAGTTCCCTATGAAGAGCCAACCCTCAACTTTGAAAATTCCCACTTTATTCCCGTAAATTCCCTTAAATTTCCATTAATTCCCATGGAAAGTTTCCATCTTTGAAAATTCCCAGAAGTTTGGAACCCTAGTCCTAATTACAGCTTTTGACCCTTTTTTGTGTATAAACTGTCGAGTGAGCGATATTTTATACACATTCCCAAAAACATTTAGCATTTTTATCTGCTAAATTTGAGGAAGGTTTGTGGAAGAAGCCGACATGGCTGAGATCTCTCCGTATTTCCACTACATCGCTCAGATTATTGCTTTACTCAAGCTCAACACAAACAGAAGTAAAAAAAAAAAAAAAAAGCTATAATAATATCTTATCTGAATAATAGAAGTGGCAGAAATAGGAGACGTGTTTTTGCACAGAGCTTATACTCGTGCCAGTGAATATGATGGTCAGCAATAAAGCAGCAGTTTTTTTTGTAAAGCTACAGTTGGCAGTTGTCACTGGTAATTTGTGACCAGAGACATGGGTTTTAGACCTCCAACAGAAGAAAAAAAAGAAAGAAAGGCGCTCTCTAATTTGCTACTTTGCACAGGCCATCGCAGATGACCCAAAGCATTAAGGTTTCGGTTTACAGCGGCCTCTTTGATGGCTTTCCTTACGGTAATTGAAGCGCAGCAGTGACAGAAAACAGACACGTCCTGTGACCCAGTGGGAAACGGCGCCTTCGTCCAGCACATCAAATAAATGGTCTTATTAGAAGTGCTTTTATTTGTACAAAATCTACATAGAGTTGACAGTCAGTTGTTGAGGATGATTAAATATTAGACACACAAATCAAAGCTTTTGTCAGAGTAATTAAGAAAAAAAAAAAAAACAGTGCTCCCATCAGTTCAGAGAAAATTTTATAAGATGAAGCCGAAACAGAATAGTGAATATTTCAGCTATTATTAAAATGTAACGTAAATAAAAATGACTCCCTATAACATTTAATCATGTCAAAAAAAAACAAAAAAAAACAGCACGTTTTAGCTGTTTTGTAACATACTTCTCTTCACATATGATGATTGTACAAGCATCTATGAATCTAAATAAACTCCCAATGTAACAGGTTGACATCGCTGAGCAAATGCAATGAATCACGTGTAAGGAATGTGCGCCATCTGGTGGCTTGAGATGGAGTAGGCTTCACGAAATATGAAATAGGTCTTCAGTTTCTCTCATATTAGCAACAAAATAGATACATCAGATGTGTTAAAGAGACAATCAAAAATAATTTCAACATCACATCTACTACATTTGTGATAGCAATTTTAACAAACAAGAAATCTGGATTTTTCCTTTTGGTGTTTTATTAAATGTCACAAGAAACAATTCAAAATGTATTTATTTTTTGTTCTTTTAAATGATGAAAAGATACTCAGATACTCAACAAATGAGCAAAACTTGTTACAGGGGCAATAACCTAAAAGGGACAACTTTATACTTGATTTACCCCAAAATAGTACATATTACTACTCTATTGTGTACTAATACACACCTTTTAGGGGTAGATAAGGTACAAAAGTGTCCCATTTAAAAGTACACGCGCTCTCGTGCCCCTAAAGGTACAATTTTTGCACATTTTGTTTCTGAAAAGTGAAGTTTAAGGATATTACAACTTAAATTGCTTTTTATTTATGTTTTCAGTACATTTGTATGCAGCCACTGTGGTAACAGACATGATGTTGAAACAAGAAATGCTCCATTGCTCTTAATATTATGTGTTGCACATGTTAAAATGGTTAAGTGATGCTGAAAAAGAATACAAACTCTTATAATAGTGGTCAAAAGAGTGGTTATAAATGTAAAACTGTTAGATGGCCGAATCACACATTTTTATCATATCTTGCAATATGACCTTATATTGTTAAGCAGCGAATAACACAAAAACAAGCCAAACATATTTGATTATAAAGTCTGTTCTGCTTATGATTGAGGAATAATGGAAGAACTAATATCCAGATCTTTTTGCACTTTTAATACAAAGGCTGTGGAGTCCGTTTATGGACCAGCACGGGAAAAATAAGGAGGTCATGTGCACGGTGACACCGAAATGTCTTTAGGTCATTTGATCCTTCTTGTCGTTAAGCTTGATATAGTCCTGAAGTCAAGATACTGACGGCAAAGATTTTTCGAACTGTATTGATCGCCTCCAAAACATCAAAATACAATCACAGTTTTTTCCTCCCATGTTGCCCTGATGCATAAAGCGGCTGCTGGTTCCCAATACTGCATTCAATTTCTCCCTGAACGTTGAGGTGAGAGCTACAGGTACGTGTCCTCTGAACCCACGCTCTCAAATGAGTGACGTAAACCAGGAACTGTGGGAGCAGCGACCGAGTCTCCGTTCACAGGTGCGTCGTCTGGAAGAAGCGGAGTGGAGTCTGTAGTGGGTGGAGGATCTTTAAGGTGGGCTGAGTTGTTGGTGTTGCTTGAGTTTTTAGGGATAGGAAGGGGTTCAGCTGTGATTTCCGGGTTGGAGGAGTGAGGGAGCTCGGTGGGGTGTGTGGGATTGGGGTCCGGTGAGGTTTGGGGAGATGGCGGGGTGCGAGAAAGACTTGGAGATGGATTTGGGGTTGGGATGGTTGGGATGACAGAGAGAGATGGATTTGGGGTTGGAATGACAGAGAGAGATGGATTTGGGATGACAGAGAGAGATGGATTTGGGGTTGGGATGGTTGGGATGACAGAGAGGGATGGATTTGGGGTTGGGATGGTTGGGATGACAGAGAGAGAGGGATTTGGGGTTGGGATGGTTGGGATGACAGAGAGGGATGGATTTGGGGTTGGGATGGTTGGGATGACAGAGAGAGAGGGATTTGGGGTTGGGATGGTTGGGATGACAGCGAGAGAGGGATTTGGGGTTGGGATGGTTGGGATGACAGCGAGAGATGGATTTGGGGTTGGGATGGTTGGGATGACAGAGAGAGATGAATTTGGGGTTGGCATGGTTGGGATGACAGCGAGAGATGGATTTGGGGTTGGGATGGTTGGGATGACAGAGAGAGATGAATTTGGGGTTGGGATGACAGAGAGAGATGGATTTGGGGTTGGGATGGTTGGGATGACAGCGAGAGATGGATTTGGGGTTGGGATGGTTGGGATGACAGAGAGAGATGAATTTGGGGTTGGGATGACAGAGAGAGATGGATTTGGGGTTGGGATGGTTGGGATGACAGAGAGTGATGGATTTGGGGTTGGGATGACAGAGAGTGATGGATTTGGGACAGAGGCTGGTGGATCAGAGCAAGGTACTGTCTTCTCAGGTGTAGTGAGGAGGGATTGCTGTAGTGATGGAGGAGGACGGTTGGACGGTTTGTCTTGTGCTTTATCTTTAAGAGGGTTTGATCTGGGGTCTGTTGGTAAGGCATACGGATTGGGGACGTCCAATGGAATGAGGGCTTTTCGGATAGTGCTTCTTTTCCTGATGCGAGCGAAATCGGATTTAGTGTCTGATTGCAGGGGATACTGAACGACGATTGTGGGGTTCTGACGGAGGTCTTGGCGGGAGTGTGGCTCGGCAGACATGATGGCCTGAGCGCCGTGCATTCTGGGAGGGGACTTGTAGCTGAGTTCGCCGTGGGTTTTCCGCCAGCGCTTGAGCTGCATGCGGTGCTCTCGTTCAACATCCCGAGCGGATATAGGCAGCTCTAACACCTGCATGTGCAGAAGAGAAGATTCACTATCATCATAGTATAGTCTTGTTGTTTTGAACTCAAACACCAATGTCATGTTCATAAAAGTTCCTACCAATAAAACCTGTTTATTATCAGTTATTAATTGATTATCTGGTAAAAAAAAAAAGAAAAAAAGAAAAAAAAAAGAAATGGTGCCATCTGTTGAATCTTTAAAGATTAGCACCCAAAAAGTTGCTTTCAACTCTTAACAGCAGCTTTCACAGGCAAGTAACTCAGTTAATGCAATGTTCATATTAATAACATTATGTAATTAAGACATTAAGACAAAGCAAGATTTGACGTATTTGATGAGTTTAATTTAAAACCACACAGTTCGCTTTGATTCTTTGTTGCCTATTTGTAATGTCAATTTCTTGACCCGAAAATTCTGAGATTATGACAATAAAATATCCAGTCAGGTTTTTTGGGTACAAAATCCACCTAAGCAAAACTCACGAGTGTATGAATAGTTGATTGTTTGGTGAACAAGTGAGCTTCAGATTTATAAAACCTAAACCTTTAGTTTAACATGAAATGCAAAGTTGATTTTCGATCTAAAATTATTATAGACTACTGTTTAAAAATCTGGGGTCTGTAAGACTTTTTTTGTTTTATTCATTAATTCATATTTTTATTGTGCTAGAATGCATTAAAATTGTCCAAAAGTGAGAGTAAATACATTTATATTATTGTAAATAAATGTTCATCATAGAATCCTGAAAAACATGTATTGCGGATTCCACAAAAATAAATGTAAACATTGACAATATAATAATAAATGTTTCTTGAAGAATGATTTCTGAAGGATCATATGACACTGAAGACTAGAATAATGGCTGCTGAAAATTAATCTGTCATCACAGGAATAAGTTACATTTGAAAATATATTAAAATAGAAAACAATTTTACCATTTTAAAATGCAAACATATTTAACAATATTACTGCTTTTACTGTATTTATGATGAAATGAATAAGCCCTAAAATTTCAAATGAGTGAATATTGATAGTATAGGATTACAAATATTTGTATTTTTTTGTTGTAGTTTTATTGTACCTATTATTTAGTTAAAAGCAAGACCAAAGCAGGCACATCACCGGCAAAATTATTCTCAGGGTTGGGTACTCGACAAAATAAATAGTAAAAAACAGAAAAAAGTTGGCACACCAAAGCTCCAAAATATGCAAATAATTGAATAGTGGACACAGGTTACTTTATGCTTGAAATGTAACCCGTGTGTTAAATATTGGTTCTACATATCAAGTATCATACACGTAAGTCTAAAAATAATTGGTATATATTTCACTTATTTAATAAAAATTAAAATCAATTTCGATCATATCTACTCAAAACCCGAATGCAGTAAAACGGCGTGAGAGTGTGTGTGTTTGCTACCTGATGGACGAGAAAGCCCTCCTGCATGTATTGCGGCTCCAGGGCTCGAAGAAGCTCCATAGTCTCATACTGACCAGGACAAGCCTTCAGTTTCTCACGAGATCCCAGCATGCATTTCAGCAACACAAGCCCAACACGGAACATTATCTTCACTCCTTTTGAAAGGACAAAAGAAAAACACAGTCAGGGAGATGATGACAAGCCTGCCTGTGTGGTAATATGTGTAAGTGAATCTGACCGTCACACAGGAACATGTCCCACACTCTGAGCACAGACGACCAGGGTAGAGTTCTGGAAAATGCACACATGTACCACTCCGTCATGTAGAGGATGGGCTCTATCTTGTGTTTCTCAAGGTGCCGATACGCCGGAGGACTCACACGCTTTAATAGCGCATTTAAGATTAGTCCATCCAACTGTATGGCCTCCTACAACACAAACAACAGAATTAAGACGGTGGAGGTTTTATCGTTGACTTGAAAGTAACAGTGCAATTTTTTTAAATTATACAATTCATTGATCTGTCAGGCAGTTATTTACAGCAGCAATTCTACATTTACATGCTTAAGGCGATAATAGATTATATTTAAATTAGTTTTTCCCTTTGGAAACCACAGATATCTCATTTACTACTCTGCTCAAATGTGTTGTAAGCAGCACAAGAGTAAAGAACAAAAGAAGTTTTGTGTAGTGTTTTTACTGGCATCGATGGCACATTTTGTCTCAAAAACATGACTCAATGTTTGCAGATTGAAAACAAGGAACTTTAGATATGAATGCTATGAATAGAATGCAAACTATAAACCTGAGACTGTGTGAGGAAAACAGATAAGGTTTCGATTACCTAAAACTATGAAGTTCATAATACTTAGTCTTCATCCACAATGCTCTTCACTGAAATGTTCTGGTAAATGGTTGTAAAATGTAGGCACTTCATAATGTGCAATTGCCATTAGATCTTCTATCATACAAGCAACAGATAACTTTTAAACACAATGCTGGGTAGATCTCACAAGTAAAGTCACATTTATTTATATAGTGCTTTAAACAATACAGATGGTTTCAAAGCTGCCTTATATTAATAATTGTGAAATAACTGGATAATAACTGTGAAAGGGTTAGTTCACCTAAAAATGAAAATTCTGGCATCATTTACTCACCCGCATGTCGTTCCAAACCTGTAAGACTTCCATTCATCTTTGGAACACAAATGAAGATATTTTTTTTATGTAATCTGAGAGATTTCTGTCCCTCCATTTACAGTCCACGCAACTGACACTTTGATGCTTCAAAAAGTTCATAAAGAGATTGCAAAACTAATTCATATGAATTGAGCGGTTTTATATGCGCGGTCGCATGATGAACAGATTGAATTTAGGCTTTTAAAATCACATATAAACATTCATCAACTCACACATCAGTAAATGGAAGCTCACGCATGCCCGCTTGACATGCGAGAACCAATGAGGTTCATTCTCATGTTACGCAGCACATTTGAGCTTCAGCAAGAACCAATGAGGTTCATTCTCATGTTACGCAGCACATTTGAGCTTCAGCAAGAACCAATGAGGTTCATTCTCATGTTACGCAGCACATTTGAGCTTCAGCAAGAACCAATGAGGTTTGTTCTTGCACATCATGCAGGTTCGGTTAAGCTTCTGTTTATGTTCGCTGATCAATGTTTATATGTGAATAAAAGCCTAAATTCAATCATATAAAGTGTTCTCGTGTCTTAAGAAAATTTAGACTAAACCACTCACTACGGATTAAACTATGGATTCGTTTTACAATCTCTTTATTAACTTTTTGATGCGTCAAAGTATCAGTTGCATAGGCTGTCAATGGAGGGACGGAAAGCTCTCAGATTTCAGTAAAAATATCTTCATTTGTGTTTCGAAGATGAATGAAGTCTTACGGATTCGGAATGACATGAGGGTAGACATGTGCCGGTATTCGGTAATGCGATAAATCACGGTAATGAATATGCACGATATTGTTATCGCGGGGACTTCAAAATACCGTGAAAAATAATAGATCCAAATTTAGATTTTTAGAACGCGCATTCTTATTTTCCATCAACCGCTTAAAAAAAACACTGCGTATATGCTGTGCAAAACACGTGCGCACTCTGATGTAAACAATCCCCACATATATAAGCACTGTGTGCATGCGGCGCACTCTAGTCTAATGTAAAGAATCCTCACATGGAGAAGAAGCATGGCGGAAGGAGGAATGCTGCCGACGATCTATCCCCCTTCTAAAAGCAGGGCTGCCAACTCTCACACATTCAGCATGAGACTCAGCATGAGACACTTTTCACACGCTCTCACGCCACACATTCATTTTCTCACGCAGAGAAAAATCACAGAGCAAAGAGGACACAAGACATAGCAGGTTACTTTTGATATGAAAAAAAATCAGTTCTCAGGTTCTGTCCATTTTATTACGAAATTCAGACAATAAATACCGTTTTGGCGCTTGTAAATGTGACGTGACAGATCGCTGTAGCGCCTCAGTTCAAGTAAACCGATCATCTGTTACTTTTTATTTAAAGATACAGTACAACTTACCGAAAGGTATATGCCTCATACATAATATCGATCAATCGGTGTTTTTCAACCACGGAAAGAGGTCAATAAAACTGCAGGAGAACAATTGTCACAGAACGTTACATCTACCTCAGGAAAGCCATTTAATGACTTAATGTTAGTTGACTGGAAAAAATAGCTATAGAGAGGAGTATTTTGCTAAATATGTGCACTATATTACATATTTATTATATTTTTTAAATATAATAATGAAAACCACATTATATTTAATTTCTCTCTGTATGTTGACAGCATTATGTGAGATATATTTTTTCTTGAGAAAAATTAACATGCAAGCTATCTACTGTAGCCTACCTAATATTTATCCAAATGAGTCAATATTGAATCAAGATTGAAATCAAATCCAAGAATTGAAATCGTGAAAATTGTGTTAAGCAATATTACAAACAGTAGCCTACCAGTCATTGTACCATGTAAACATTGTCAAAACATTTGTGAACTAAACTGAATTTTATTAAGTTTAGTGACAACATGTTACAACCACAATTACACATTGTGATGAAAGTTTTTTTTGTTTTGTTTTTTTACTCCCAATCCATCCGTTTCTCTTGTGCAGTTAAAATATCGTGATAATACCATATACCGTGATGAAAGCTCAATAAATTAATCGCAGCATGAAAATTTGATACCGGCACATGCCTACATGAGGGTAAGTAAATAATGAAATTTTCATTTTTGGGTAAACTATCCCTTTAATGTTGTAAAATTGATCAAATATTAAATAAATTAGATTCCATGCTCTACAAAAGATAAGTGTCATTATTCAGCTCAATTTAATGCTGTTTCAATTTAGTTCGATGGCTGTGTCAATGTTGAAACATCAATTTGGAAAAAAAGTTCAATTAGGCTATACGTAGCTCTACAAAAAAACAATAGTTTTTCCTGCATTGAAAATATTTTGGTGGCCGTCAAAATGAATCGTTGTCCTGCCAAACTAATCATTTAATGTGACAAAACCTGCCGTAAAACTGTATTTAAGCGCACGATTAAATCCGATTGATAGTGATAGTGATAATCATAGCAATGGACAGAAAAAACAATTCTGATACTGTATGTCAAATGATCTGTGCATTGAGTTAAATTTACAGATTTTTAAATATAAAATAGTTCTAAGCACTTTGTTTTATGATCTGTCCATTGTTGGGGAAAGTTACTTTTAAAAGTAATGTTTAAATGATTGTGTTATTCCTTAAAAAAAAGTAACTAATTACGTTACTTAGTTAATTTTATGGATAGTAATGTGTTGCGTTACTTTTTCTAATCTGGGCTGGGCTTGCTTGTTTTTAATAACAAAAACGAATAAAAGTTGTATTTTTGGCAAATGTAAAGTCCCTTCCACACCAAAAGTGAAATGAATAATCCTCAGGCTGAATGAAATGCAAAATCAGCTCAAACAATCCTTTCAGCTGTGCTGCTATTCTCAATTGTAGAAGAATAGTAATGCAATTTAAAAGTAATGCGTTACTTTAGTAGTTACTTAGAAAAGTAATCTGATTACATAACTCGCGTAACGTGTTATGTATTACTCCCAACGCTGGTCTTGACAGTGATTATTTTTTATTTCATGGATAAATAGAAAAAGTTAATATTACAACCTGTCTTTGGATTTATTTTGGATTTATTGTCAGAACTGGGCTCGCAGTTCACATGGGTAGGGTACTTTGTACTGAGTGTGTGGATGACCGTGTTCGTCCGCCACCACTGAAGACCATTTTAACCCAGAAAAAACCCTGAATAGTGTAATTATTCAGCTCAAGCCAGTTCATACAATTCAGTATGTAAGTGTTGTTGCAAAAAAGCACTTCTTGTCTCCCCTTTATGGATTAGATTTGATTAGTAATATTTATTTCTTAAATAGCAAGTAACAGGTCTTACCAGGCCTGCACTGTAGTATCCAGGGAGGTACTTCTCACAAATCTGAACCAGACCCCAAAATGCATCCTGAATACACACAATAAACAAACATGATTTGTCATTTCAATCATTACTTAAGTATTACTGATTGTAATAAGAATGTGCACACAAATGATCATTTTTACCTCAGCAGGCATGTGCATCAGAAGCACCGCTGCTATAGGAGCCTGAGCCTGACAGTAACCCTCATCCGGTCTGTACAGGGTGTAAGCCTTCAACACCCGGAACAGGTCCTGCTGCCTGCTCAACAACACACAAACACAAGCACAGTGGAACTGGTGTACTTTGCAAAAACAGATATAACCTGTACTGTTTCCGTAAATAGTATTTAAAATATATATATATATATGCACAACTGTTTAAAAGCTTGATGTTGGTCAATTAATTTTTTTTCTATATGAATATATTTTAAAATTGTATTTATTCATGTGAAGACAAAAGCTGAGTTTTTAGCATTATTACTCCAGTCTTCAGTGTCACATGATCCTTCAGAAATCATTCTAATATGCTGATTTGATGCTCAAGAAAAAAAAATCTTCTTATCACGTTTGAAAACAATTGTGCTGCTTATTGTTTTCGTGTAAACAGTAATACATTATTGAAATTTCAAAAGAACAGTATTTATTTAAAATTGCATTTTATTTACATTATAAAAGCCTTAACTGTTACTTTTGACCAATGTAATACATTTGCTAAATAGAAGTATTAATTCCTTAAAACTATATAAAATATAATAAATTTAAATAAATAAATACACACACACACACACACATATATCTGTTTATGTGTGTGTGTGTGTGTGTGTGTAATATATAATAAAAAAAATGAATAGAAAATTATGAAGACTAACCCATGACCTCCTCGGGACACAAACATCTCATGGAAGGGAAACTGTCTGTGTAGATCTCTCTCGATCACATCAATCCACTTAGGGTCTCCATCCATGCTATCCAACTCCTACTCAACAACGACACAATCCAGAAGTTCATCTCACAGTTATAAACAGTAAGACAGATCCTATTGTTTCTTGTCCAGCAACCTATATTCTTGTGATTTTTTAAGCACAAGAAATGCATGGGTTTAACACATCTATATATCTTAGTAAGGTTGCAGCTCCCAGGTTGAGAAGCTCTACAGTAAGAAATGCATAATGACACATCTAATGTAACCACTACATATCAACTGTAATCAAGTATGTGTAGACCTGACTGACTCACATTGAACTTCCCGACGTTTTGCTCTCTTTTCACTTTTCCACCTGACAGGTACAGCCAGGCCCTGCCTCGCAATGACGGTGGGATTCCTTTCTGACATCGCAGTCGCACCTGCGGGTGACAGAGGTCTGAACGTCACACCCTGACGCAGTAATATTCAGATAAGCAGGGACCAGCATGCATTCACAGTGATTACACACTGCAATCTAGATGACATTTTAAATGGTTAACACAAATATGTCACTATCCCTTCAACACAGAAGCCACTGGACAAATCTTTGTGATTATAAAAACAGCCCAGTCTCCTTGCATCAAGAAACAGCAATAATAAAATATGTATGTAGTAGGGATGGGAATCATAAGGCATTTACCCATGCTGGCACTGTTTCTACTTGATTCAGGTTTCCTAAAGATTCTTGTCGAACAACACTGGCTGCACTTTAAGTTTTGTAGTAACATGCAATTAGAGGCCAATCCAACCGAACAATGTACTGTCTGTTTATTGTCTTTGTATTCTTTCTAGGGATGCACCGGTGTTTAAATTCTAGCCATACTTAATTCTAGCCAAATTCATACTTTTACATAACATGCCTTTTCTCTCAAATATTTATGTTCCAAAACTGGTGTTTAACTGAATACTCACAAAGAGAAGCATTTTGATCATTTTGTTTGTATTTGACCATTTAAGCACAGAGGATTTAGTAAAATTGGAATTAATAAAATTATGCAAGCACTATTTAACCGGAGCGAATTAGAAGAGTGAGTGAGATGAGGCTGGTCTGCATTACTTCGCCGGCAGTTAAAAATTGTTTAAATCTTTTAAGAGACAATAACTTTATTTGCTGTGTACTTTGTAAAAGGTCTGCAAAGTTTAAAAGATCATTCACAAACAGCTTTATTACACACTTGCATGAAAGGAAAAATTCCAAAAAGCATAATGGGGCACTTTAAGCATCACAACATAAGATTTTCTAAAGATTGCATTTAACAGTGTTATTTAATTATTAACATTTAAAAGAATAACTTCAAGTAAGCATTAGATAACAGCAAAAGTAATGTTAATGTAAAAATAGGAAAAATGAGCATGCACAATGAATTACCCATTATCAGCAGATACCTATAAATTAAAAAAAAAATCCCTAATACTGGCCTCTAATACAGTAACCATAACTATAGATATACCTTGCATCCCTTTTTAGATTTTAAAAATAACAGTGTTACTAAATAATAAAATTCTTTTTAGAATAGTGTGAACTTATGATGAACATACAGTAGCTGCCTATATAAATTAAATAATATAGTAATGTCTATTTTTCCATAATCTAGTGAATTTAAATCATTTTAAATGCTTTGAAATGAAAAACTACTGTAAGAGTATATCAAATTTAATTATTTTAATCTGGGATGTGAATGGTCAAAACTCAACAGGTAACGTTATTCTTGATTCGCCATGAAAATGTCATGAAATTCATCTAGTTTCAGTAAGAACTGTTTCCAATTCCCAACCCTAGAATTGTGTCTCTTTGTTTTCAATCTCTGTGTGACACAAAGACGAGCACACACAGTAATACAGGCATGCAAACATAAAAGGGCAACAAAGACTGTTAAGACGGCCTCTGGCAAAACTCTTCCGTCGTCTTTACCTGAAGACGCCTCGCTCCCAGTGAAAGCTTTATAAAGCTTAAGAGAAAAACAGAGGTGAACACTTAGACTAATAGATAAACACATCACTGAAGACCATTTAAGGAAAGCTGGCGATATAAGGCTTGTCCAGACAGGGCCTCTTTGAAACGATTGTGTCATGGTGTCATTCTGCTGAGGTTTTTAATTAATCCATACAGCAGTGGAACTGTCTGAGCAAGTCAAAATGGGGAAACACGAGAAGAAAGGGAATAAAAGAGAAGATAACAGTGATCATTTAAAGCCCTAAGCCCTGATACATGGAGATGATTTCCTCATATTTTCACAGTTTGGTGTACCTTCTCTTTTACTTTCTAGTGCGTACATGTAACGCACTGGAAAACATCTGACATCATTGATCTGTTCCTGGGAACATGCCGTGAAAATGAACACAACTGACTGAAGAATCTAGTGAATGTCGATGGCAGCTCCTACCTTCTTGAACCTTTTACTGATCCATCTGTCCCAGTGGTTCAGCATATCCAGCCATTTGACTTCCCTGTGCCTTAACACTTCCAAAGGCACTTCTTGAGCCCTGTGTGAGTGCGTTTGAGAGAGAGAGAGAAAGAAAGAAAGAATAAGAACCCCAAATTAGTTTATCAAAGAAAATGCCCCATGCTATTGGTTCTCATAACCCATCACATCACAACATCAAGTTTGAATATGCAAATGAGATGTGAATGAATACAAATTACTTCTACTTTTGTCCTATTATGGGCATTCACTATGATTGTATGGAAAATAGTGGCCTAAACATTCTGCTTAACTTCTCTTTTTGTGTTCCACAAAAGAAAGAAATGAAGTCATAAGGGTTTGGAATGAAATGAGGGGAGTAAATAATGACAGAATGTTTATTTTTTGGTGAACTATTCATTTAATCTATAAAAACATACTAGGCTACATCTGAAAGAGTGCGCATCTCACAGCAAAAACTGTGCAACAACTAAACCAATGACCAAAATAGCTTCTTGAACTTCAACAAAACCTCAAACATGTGTCACTCGTCACATTTACTTCCTTCATATAAATACTACTATATCATTTAAAAAAAGAAGGGGTTTTTTTCCAGATTACAACCACCTTACTATACCTTACCACATATTTGATATGGTATACTTTACTGTAACCAATAAAAATGTATGCACAACCCAAAATGTAAACAATGCAAGGAAGGACATCATGTTATCTAATATAAGCTTCAATATGAGTTCCTCATTCACACACCTGCATTTTATGATGAGACACAATGAGGGAGGCCGGCATTACAAATTGTGAAATGTTTTTATGCACTACCATTCAAATGTTTGGGGTCAGTAAGATTTTTTGATCAAATTAAAACCATCATTCAGCAAAGATGCATTAAATTGATCAAAAGTGACAGAAAAGACATTTGTAATGTTACAAAAGATTTCCATTCCAGTTCTTTTGAACTTTCTTTTTATCAAAGAATCCTGAAAAGAATTAAGCAGCACAACTGTTTTCAACATTGATAATAAGAAGAAATGTTTCTTGAGCAGCAAATCAGAATGATTTTTGAGGGATCATGTGACACTGAAGTAATGATGCTGAAAATTCAGCTTTGATCACAGGAATAAATAATATTTTAAAATAGATTCAAATAGAAAATAGTTATTAATATTAATAATTTAACAATATTCCAGTTTTTTTATCAAATAAATGCAGCCTTGGTGAGCATTAGAGACTTTCAAAAAGTTTTGACCACAAATTTATGAACAAGAAAAACAAGTGGTGGAAACAAGCTTATATCAGAAATGTAAGTACAGAATTAACCTGAAACAATTTCACGACTTATCTAAGCAGTTAAATAGCCATTTAGTAGATGACTAGACACTTTTATCCTGACTATTTTCAGGGAGATTCTTCCTGGGTTCAACCTGTGGTAAACTATTTTTCTTAAGGCTACAATGGTGATGGAAGAGGCCTGTAATATTTGCACCTGTGTTTTCCCCCCCGAGTCAAATTTAAACCATTTAGCTTGTGGCCTAGATATTTAAATATCAGTTTGGCAGCACACCAACCACCAGCTAGCTTCCCCTTTACTTAGACACTTATCTTTACCACTAGAAATTTGATTCGAAAGCAATGTTTCTTTCAATATTGTTCCTATTGAGCTACAACTTAGGTATTACTTCCTTTTCATTTTCAAGAGCAATTCTGGCCAAAAATGGAGGAACCAAGAACAGATTCCATGAGTTATGTTTGGGGCCGGTCTCTCTCCGGTAGCTGGCAGAGAGGGGTGTAACCTCAGGGCACCAGAACTCCCATAAACCACAGGAAACGGAAAGCGGCTGTACACTCAGTACAGAGGGACAACTATCACTTACTCATCTATTCCATTCTCTTTAACAATTCACAATGAATAGACCAGCCTGCCCTGCCGCCGTCTCAGGCTACTGTTTAAAACCGTTAATTCTTAATAATGATGTGGTGGTGGTGACGATCCCAAATCCAGGCGGCTCTGTAAATGACATCAGAATGTGTTGTCCTCTGTAGACTGCAGAGTCTTTAAGAAAGACACTAACCTGAGGCAGATGTCTCGTTGATAAAAGACAGGAAGCTTTAACAAGACTGCAACTGGCTGCAGAGCAAGTGAGGATGAAACGCCCTGATTTAAACCACATCAATGAAAACTAACAAAAAACTGTTGATGCCCACTTCCAATGAAAAGAAAGTAGACAGTTTCTTACATCCGTCTAAACTGGTTCAACGAGTTGCACAAAACAAATTCACTAAATCTACAAAAACATTGTTTAATCATGATGAGTTGAAAATACATGAGTTGTTTTGATTTTGTTTGCTTAAGTTTGGCCAGCCGCCAACCTCCAATTTATATTTTTTTTTTAAAGAGAGGGATTGTGGTGCTTAGCAAAAAGGATACCGATGTAGGAATGTATTGAATGAGTGAAATTTTAACAGTTCAATGACTAATTTTGAGTGAACATTTTACTTGGCTGACGTAAACAGTTACAAGACCTGAGCTATGTATACACAGTACCGGTCAAAAGTTTGGAAACATTACTAATTTTTAATGTGTTTGAAATAAGTCTCTTATGCCCATCAAGCCAGCATTTATTTGATCAATAATACAGAAAAAAAAAACAGTAATATAGTGAAATATTATTACAATTTCAAATAATGGTTTACTATTTTAATATACTTTAATAAAATATAATTTATTTCTGTGATGTTAAAGGGGCTATGTGTAGGTTTTTACTTAAAAAAATCTTTAAGATAGAGTCTTCATTTGTACATTTATGAGCCAACCATAATGTAATAGAAAGAATGACACCTTGACTGTCCACCACGGTTGCCTCTATCAGCCTGTAGGCTCAATTGTGTGTGGAGGAGTCGGGTCTGAGTTGGTGCGAAAATTCACAAAATGTCATTCACAGACGTCATGCGCGTTCTCGTCTACTTGGGCTTACATCTGTACGGCAGCTATTAGTAAGCAGTGGCAATCGTTAGCAGTAACCTTAGTCTAGTGCGGCCAACGAGCGTGCGAGCGTGTGCTCCGAGAACGAGCATGAGACTGGCAGCAGTTTCTCTAACGGCCACTGGTGTCAGTAACGGTTAGAAATTTCAGAACTTCCGCAATGCTCCTTTAAAGTTGAATTTTCAGCATCATTACTCTTTTCGTAGTGGATCAGACACCTGTGAGATCAAAGGCGGATATCGGGATTCACGCTCGTGCACGGTGTTGCTAATAAACTGGATGTAATTTAAGTTCTGTTGCTTTTATATGAAAATAATTATAATGAATAGAGCCCGACCGATATATCGGCGAGCCGATATTATCGGCCGATATTAGGCATTTTCATAACTATCGGTATCGGCATTTATAATGGCCGATAAATGAATATTAAAAAAAAAATGCGGCGTGCGATGATTCATGTAAGGGTGGCGCTGCCAATAAAGCACCTAAAAGCTGTCACAATGAACTGGCAAAAGCAATGACATGAATACATCAAATATAGCAAGGAGACATTTTAATTGTTTATTAATAACAAGTGTTTTCAGTCATTGTGGGCTGCAAAGATGAAGTTGAGGATGCGGACTCGCGATCTTTGAACGCACCAGAGAGAAATGTACATTTCAGAAGGATTACATAAGCAGAGAGCAGTTTGTCTTTCGTTTTGATTTGTTCTGTTTAAAAGTAGACATTTCAATAGATATATTTCTCAGGTCTATACGCTGAGTTTAGGTTCATTTATGAGACGAGTTGCAGTTCACTCGCCGCGTTTCGAGATTATCTATTGTCTGTTATATTTACTTCTTATTTATTAAATCCAGGCATTTGGTTGATGAAACATTGATTAAAATTAAGATATAATTAATACAAAACGAAATTGACTTTAATGAAAGGCTTTGTGCTTTCTGTTCGAGGTAGGCCTATGTGAAAGTTTTAAAGCGCTTTAGTGCCGCTTTCGGAGCTTGTCACGTCCGTTTTTTCCTCATAAATGCGAACACGAAAAATAAAAATAAAATGAATATTATATGTTCTGTTGAGAGCCAACCCTTTTTCATCCAGTGGGTAGTAGACTATTACTTTTGATTTGCGCAGTGTAATTCACTGAATTGATTTCTCTGCTGCCAGCCTCTGTCACTTATGGCGCTTTTCCATTACCAGTACCAGCTCGACTCGACTCGACTCGCCTTGGCTCGCCTCGACTCGGCTCGCTTTTCGCTCCGTTTTCCATTGCAGAAAGTACCGCCACAAATAGTACCCGGTCGTCATAGCGACGCATTTCGTTCCCCCATCAAGCTCTCGCCGGATCCTCTCTTCGGCAACCAAACAAAGGAATGTCTGCACCTCCTCGTTTGACCACGGCGTATTCTTCCGAGTTGCCATAATAATAGTAGTAAGTTTAGTAACTATCTCTGGCCAAACTATTTAGAAATGGCGGGGTTATTCTGGATACTCCATCTGGCGCGTGCAATGATGACGCAGATTCTCTGTGACCAATCAGCAGTCGGCATTGTTTTCACGTCACATTTTAGTATCGGCTTAGCTCGCCTCAGCTCGCTTAGAACCTCGCCGGAGGTGGTACGAAAAAAAGTACCCGAAAGCAGGTACAGGTACAACTTTTACACAGTGGAAAACCAAACAAAGGCGAGTCGAGTCGAGTCGAGCCGAGGCGAGCTGGTACTGTGTAGTGGAAAAGCGCCAATATTGTGTGAGCTTGTGACTATTGCAAGCACGCAGCTGAGAAATCCTAATTATATTGTCTGCTATATTTAGCCTACTTCTTATTTATTAAATCCAGGCACTTAATTTATTAAACATTGATTAAAATGCGTGGCGCGAGCGACAATTCTCCGACAGTAAACGGATGGCCCATTCTGCTCTGTAACGGGTGCTTTTCCGCGTCTCGGGTAAACAGCTGTTGCGACTCACGCGAGCAATAACGGCCGCGTCCGGTGTGTAGACACAGTGTTAAAGCTAATTCCGCCTATAACGCTACGTTACAACATCAAGCAATATTCCAATAATTTATATAATTATAACACTTTATATAGGGCCATTTTGCATTAAGAGTAGCCTAGTTTCACGTTTAGTAGGTACATTTTGCTTACTACTTATTTAAAATAGTATAAAAGTCTGTACATTATGTAATTATAAACGTTTTCATTATGATATTATACATTTTACTTTAGTAAAAAGATCTGAGTTCTTCCTCCTCTGGTAGAGATTAGAGGAATTAAGACTAAAAATAGAAGATAATGTCAGTGACACTTTTGATAGGCTATATTTATTGATACAAGTTGTTTTATATAACGTGACTAAATTAAAAGACAAAGTCGTCAGTGAAGATTATGCAACAGTATTTAGAATATAATATAATATAACATGCAATGCAATGCAAACTAGTTTGGTTACAGCACAAATGTATCATTCTCATTCTATCATTCCCCCTGCCTCCATTACATATCACTCAAGTGTTTGATCACCACATTTGAGTGATCATTGCAAAACGTTTATATATTTATTCTGTTTAAATACTGTGTATTCTATATACAGTACCCATCAAACGTTTGTACACACCAATAGGAAAGTGTGTCCAAACTTTTGACTGGTACTGTACTATAATACACCTAAATAATATTGCTACTGTACACAGATAAATAATATCGGCCGATATATCGGTAAAGTACTCACACATAATTTATATTTAATTTTGATCAGTGCAGTCGGTGGGGAGCAACTGCGCCGGACTGCAGAATACTACACATCCGCCTTGCGGTCGCGAGAGTTTTTTGACATACGTCAGCATGACATCAGAGCCAATCGGACCGCACTCGGACACATTTCTAACCGGCATGCATCTCGCGGTGATCACCGGTGATCGGTTCTGCAACAGAGGGAGTGGCTGAGAACGATGACGTTGAGGTGTGCTAGTTTGAGTTGTAGACATACGTCACGAGTCACGACCAAACGTTAACGATTGGTTATGGCAGATCCAGAGTGACTCTGGGCAGATCCAACAGTTTTAAACTTTAACAGAGTACCCGCCTTCAAGGAAGTTAACGCTTATCAATGGAGAGTGGCCATGGCCAGACTCTCTGTACAATTGAAATGTGTACGAGAGTCTGGTAGGACCAGGCTAACTTTTTTCAGGATTCATTGATGAATAAAGAGTTTAAAAAAAGAACAGCATTTATTCAAAATAGAAATCTTTTCTAACAACATACCTCTTTACTATCACTGTTGTGTTTAATCAATTTAACACATCCTTGATGAATAAAAGTATTAATTTCTTGCAAAAAAAGAAAGAAAACAATACTGACCCCAAACATAACCCCAAATAAATGCTGTTCTTTTTTTTATCTTATTTTTTACTTTTTATTCATTAAAGAATCCTGAAAAAGTATCACAGGTTATATAGTATCTTAGACTCAAAATACTTATATTATTTTAACATTTAAAAAATCTTAATCATTATTATTATTATTATTATTAATTTAAATGGTTTCATTAACAGTCACCACCTGCTACCAGAAATCAAATATACTATAAAATGTATAAGGCATGCTCTTTATTTTTCCTACCTTCATTGGGTTACACAATTATTAATAAACACACACACACACACACACACGGCAATTAGGTTAAGCAACGGTAATTCATTCACACAGATTCCTTTGTTTTGAATTCTTCGGTTAAACTGTGTCAAGAATGTAAACTACGGTAAGTTACATTACTTTCCTACTACTCCACACACCCATTGAAGTCCAAGCATGCTTAATCACGTGACTTTGCCTTACCCAGATCAACCAACACAAACAGGATTTGATGAGATCCACTAAACCACTTACGATTCGGTTGAATACTTCTGGGCTCCTCCGATGAATCCATACTTGTCAGTTTGTCTTGAGCTCGTGAATCCGTTGATTTCAGAGTCCGACCCGAAAGAGCTCTCCTCGTCAAACTGACTGCCCAGAGTCATCACACTCATAGTATCATCAGACGACACACGTCCATTCTCCAGCTGAGCCATCATGATCCTCTACAAACACACCCCGCTGAGAAGTTCACTTACAGGACATCACCTGACCCCATCTGTAAGTTAGGCATCCCAGGAGAAAACGTCGAATTAATTTAATGTGACGCTTCACCTTTAACTGATTCTAAATCAGGCCAATCAAAACTACACAGACCCAACACGACTTTTGTTAACTTTAACTTTATTTCCCGCGTTTTATATGTAAGTTTGATGTTGTGCGTCTATTAAAGCTACAACGCCTTCTAAACGGATTATTGTGCGTTTAAATCACCCGAGTTAAATGCTAAATTAGCTTAGCGCGCGACGTGTCACTATCCCAACCCACAGTTAATTTAATCCCAAAACAACGACGAATGAAAAAGTACTTTACATATGCAGAAAAACCGCCCGAAAAAACGTGTAAACAACCGGACGAGCGAAACTACGCCTGAATTTCCTGAATCACATTTTTCCAGTCCACGGATTGTCAGGTCTCGCGCTCAAAGAGTCCAGCGGACTGTTTTCATTCAGCACGCCGATGTTTGAGGGTGAAAAGAGAGCAGATTCCCAGTTAAGATGCCGCAACAGAGTTGTTTTCGTAGTTCAAGTCGAGGTCCCATGGTTGAGAGGTAAATGTCACATCAGTCGAGCCGTGTTTTTAGTGTTAGGGTGGTGATGATGACATTAGCGCTGAGTTTCCATTCTTTCGCTGTTGCGTTTTGACAGTTCTGCACATGCGCGTCTGTGTCACTTCCGGAATCCACAGGTTATTTGCATGTCGTATTTGTATGGAATCTGCTAAAGTTTGTCGAGGTCTAATTTGAATTATTGTAATATTTATGTGACAGACTAGGGGGGAAATAGAAGTCTGTTTAATGTGTCATATAAGTTAATAATAAAAATAATAAATAGAGTTTATATTAAAACATTTAGGCTATTTTATTTTAATATTATAGAATATGTTATTTAGCCTACTTTCTAAGATTCAAACATAGACAGTAAAAGAGGATTCAAATAGCCAAAGGAATTCTTTCTCGAGGTTTAATTTGAATTAATGTAAACATAATGGGGAAAGTAAGACATTTATTATTATTATTAGTAATACAGTCTAGCAATTTTCAGTCTTTTGAACAATGAATTTTAGCCTATTCATTAAGTCATTAGTCCTCATGTCATTCCAAACCTTTATGCATTTCTTTCTGAACACAAAAGTCGATATTTTGAAGAACATTTGGGTCAATAAGCATTGAACTCCATTAAAATAGACATTTTAAAATGTATTTTTTGTTGAAGAAAGCCATACTAGTTTAGAATGGCATGAGGAAGAAAAGGGCCAAATGTTAATTTCTTTTCCGAAAAAGTTGGATTCTCTGGTTCTTTATCCTAAATATAGTTTATCATATAAAAAAACCACGTTATTTTAAATAGCTCATGATGCATTATTCCGGCTACATTTAAAATAATTAAACAAAGGAACTGAGAATTTTTTATTTTTATTATTATTATTATTTTTTAAATGCGCCATTAGTCCAAGAATTCAAGGGCCTGGCAAGTCCTAGTAGCCTAACTAAATGCAGTTCAACACAACTGTCTGTGGGGGGCAGCAATTACAGACACAATTTACAAGTGAGCAAATATTCCACCCTTATGGTCTTTTCTAATGTTCAGTTATGTTCAGAAATAGTATGATATTATCATTAATAATATGTATCTATTCTGCATATTGATTGAGTGTAATTTCATGAAACTGAAATAAATTAGCTGTAGCCTTCATGTGAGATAATTTTTTCTCTCTCGATTAAATACATACAGTACAAGATCCTGTTTTGTGTTATGAATCCATTACAATGTTGTCTTGCAGTGTACTGCTCATTAAAAGAAAACAAGCAATATTTGAAGTCATTGCCTTTATTATATCTAGCACTATCAGAACTATAAATATCGTTTTAAAATTCAAAACAAAGGTTTAAATATAATGAAAGCTGATATACAAGAGGGTTGACATGAACACAATTGCAGATAGAACTGAAATTACAAAATTCAAATGAAATGGAAGATTTGTCTTTATTCAAGACTCCTCTTTCTCATCCCCATGCGTGATAATGTAACAAAGTGATTTATAGTCAATATTCCCAGCCACGTCAATTGGAGCGACTGCAAAAGCCTGGTCAACCTGAAATAGAATCAAGTAGATTAGATTAGACGCCTAAGTGATTCTTCTAAAAGTACACATTCTTATCACAGCACCACATAACACAGGCTATTAAAATCCTGTTGTTTGTGATAGCAGTATAAAGTGGGGAAACATTGTGGGTATCTACTGATTTTTTATTCAATAAATATTTTTAAATGCAAATATTAACCTCTTCTGCTGTGAATTTATCAGCTTGGTTCATTAGCAGCCTCTTAAACCTGAAACAAAATGACACCAAATACATCAATAGTCTTTTTTTTCTTTTTTTTTAAACAGTAAAATACAGTAATGTTGTTGTTTTGTACACTTACTCATCCTTATTGACAACTCCTGTAGCATTTGGGTCGAAGAGTTTAAAAGCAGCAAGGATGGTTTCTTCTGGGTCTGTGCCTTTTGGAGATAGGAATATTACAAAGTTATAGTAAATCCTCTGTTCTTTTAAGACGTATATTTTCTTATTCATCAAGGCCTTGAAAGATCTTGAAAGTTTAGCCGTCATACCATTGAGCTTTTCTCCGAAGAGAGTGAGAAAGACAGTGAAGTTGATGGGCCCTTTTCCCTCTGCTAACATTGACTCCAGCTCTTCGTCACTCACATTCAGCTTCCCTGCACAAACAAAGAACTCAATGTTTATCTAAAAAGCTGTTTACTTATATGATGTTTTGTATGTAAGATGACAGTATTTTGAAACTCTACAGCGAATGCATTTTATATACCCAGTTGTCCATAAGTTTCCTTCAAGTCAGATTTGTTAATAACTCCATCCCGGTTCTGATCTATGCAGCCAAATGCCTAAAGAGAAGCACATAATGTATGACACATTTGTACTAGATTATTTGTTATCTTGAAGCAATCTAGCATGATATCAACTCCTGCTTGTGCCCTCCTATAGCTTTTAGCTATTTATCGTATCACATTTTCAAAGTACACATTGTTTCAAAGCAACTTTACAGAAAATCATGATACAATGTGGCAATGATATAAATTATCAAGCAGTTGAGATTTGTTATATAGAATATATAGATTTACACGAGTGGCATGTAAATTTATGACTGAGTATATGAGTATTTATATTGTCACAAAATGTAAACTAATGCACAGCTTATATATGTTGGATATATGTTATGTACAGTATATACATGTCGAAATGTGCAATAATATAGTTTGACGATATAAATAATCACGGAGCAGAGGTTTGATATAGCTTTACGTGATTGTAGTAAAGTTGTATATACTTACTGTATATATCCAACATATGTTGAGGCTTATGTAACCTGTAATGTTTTGTTCAGTTTGGTTTTCATATAATATAAAGACTGACCTCTTTAAACTCCTGTATTTGTGATTGCTCAAACATGGAGAAGACATTAGAAGAGCCCCTTTGAGCAATTTTCCCCCTCTTAGATGCAGCTTTCTTACTAGCCTGTAAGTAAGAAAGACAGAAAAATTCAATAAAAATCATAATTGGAAGCACCCGGTAGGCAGCCTATAACATTAAATCCACAGCAATAAATATACTGTAGCTCATTGAAATGACTTTTTTGAGACTAATGTCACAGAATAAAAAATGTTCAAGAAAATGTTTATGCTTTTATTGGCTAAATTTTCTCATATTAAATAACAATATTAATAGAAGAGTAAGTTCAAGAGTGTACAGTGCTTCTATATACACTATAAATCCGTCCTATTTTAAATTCACATTAATTGTCTTTATATTCAAAACCATTAAAAAAGAAGCCGTGTCCACTCACCATGTTCACTGGATGCTTTGCTCTGTGTATGTGCTCCTGGGCCAGGGGTGTTGCTCATAGAGTCTTTATGTATGAGGACTCTTATCACTCGTCTCTCTAGAAAGGTCTGCACTGCTTCTGTTAGTCCCCTACATGGGCACCCAGAGCCTCCTAAATACAGGAGCCATGATAACAGCACAAGTACTTAGATTCCAGCAGGGAACGAGGACGTGTGGATGAGGAGGGGAGAGTAAATCTACTAGAGATTTTAAGGGATGAAATTGATGGATGGATGGATGGATGCAATGAAACTGAGTGAATGTGAATGGAAAGAACGAAGGCCTGAGAATGTGAGTCTGAGTGGCAGTACAAATGTTACATATTCAAACCAAATTAGGGCAGCCCATGACCTGGAGAACTACAAAGGTTCCATATCAATATAGTGTCCATGAGCAAAGCTCTGGGACACACAGTCCATGTGACTGAAATATTGAATTGGGTACAGTGTGTGAGGAAAACTGTAGACTATTTGACAGCACTGTGCATGGGGAGTCATTTTTAAACTGTACTCTTTATACCAGTTTTTTTTTATAAAGTCCCATTTTAGAATTAGAGTTAGAAATGCCAGAATGGTGAATCAATCAGGAGCTGTTGTTTTGTTATGAATGGGTCATATGGGTTAGCATAATGGTTCTCTGAATCATTCAGACAGCTTACTTGTATTGAGTTCTTAGGGTCCATTCACACAGAACATGTTTTTGCCTTAAAATACACCAGACACATGGCAGTAGAATAAATAAAATTAAAATCAAAGATTTGATTTTAAAAGATGAACTACTTTTAATTTGAGATAGCATTTTTGGAATGGCACCCAGCCATTCGCCCACGATATGGGCTTAAGGAATGGGCCCCAAAAGAGTTTGTCCATGGATTCCAATAGCCCATACAGGGCTAATTCAGATAGGCCGCAATGGAACCCATGGACAAAGCAGTGTAAAGTTCATTCCTTTAATGAAATGGAATGAAATGGGGTGAAATGGGGTGTCTTTTGCAAGATGCTGCAAAAGACATAAGATTTGACAGTCAAACATGTCCATCTATCTACATAGAAAAGCATTGGAAAAATTTGTTCTGTGTGAACGACCCGACCCCTAAATGTGCGATCACATTTACCGTTGTTCAGCATATTTCTCAGGCAAAATCCCGCCATTTTAATAGGAATCCATGTGATCGCTGTCATGTCTTAAAGGACACTTTTCCCCATGGACTTAATGACTTTCTTAGTTACCTTATGCCTGAGAGCAATTTCCCAGGGACTTTGGCTAAATATATTCACTATGCCTTACTGCTGAGTAGTTCCTCATTTACTATGGGGACTGCGAATGAGGAACCCTGCAATTCCACAGCACCCACCACATCAGAGTCAAATCATGTCATGCTCGCCACGACAGAGCCTCTTCACGTCATGGCCGCCACGCCAGAGTCTCCCAATATATCCCATGCATAGGCCACGGAGGCCATCCCTGAACTCATTGTGCCCCATGCCACGGCCACAGAGACCGCCCATGAACACCCTGTGCCCCATGCCACGCCCACAGAGACCGTCCATGAACACCCTGTGCCCCATGCCACGGCCATGGATCCCAGCCACGCCTGCTCTGTAACGGTCAGAAATGACTTCCATGTTTCTGTTCCCCCATGGCCTCCTGATCTCCAGTAGTCTGCTGCTCTGCCATGGCCTCCGGTTATCTGGTGGTCTTCTGCTTTGCTGAGGAGGTCCACTCCTCCGCAAGCTCCACCCTGGCGTTCCCCATCACTGCTGGCTCTACCGTGGCCACCTGAACCACCATGGCTTTGTCCAGGCCCCGCATTGCTCCACGGCCCAGGTCCGCCAGTGCTCCACGTTCCAGGCCTGCCAGTGTTTACTATTAATTACTATTAAGATTGAATCTTTTAGAGGTGGTAAAAGCCCAAGTAGCCTACCTTTAATGCCAAATTAATGTACATCTACATTAATGCTATACAACAATACTTAGTGCTTGCCTATAGAGTGAAAAATGGGGCAGGACCAGCACAGTTGTACCAGGGTACAGGCCTTGTATAAGAGAAAGATTCTCGCTTTTACTGTTCTGTATTATCTTTAAAAGTTGATTTGATAAGAAGTTGCTGCAGTGAACTATAAATCTTTTTGTTCTTGGCTATAAAAGGAGCTCTCAAGGTGGCTTTGCGTGACCAAACAAGCTTTACCCACTGTTGACCTTTAAATATCAGATTCCATATCTTTTGTTTTTATTATCTTTGGCCGATATAGTATTGCACCAACAGTAATTCCATATTACAATATAAAATATCATATTGTCTGTGTTAGTGTTAAGCGAACACTAGATTGACCGTCACTCATTTTCACCAAACAACACTCATACTCCTCCAATGTTTTCCTAAGTAATTTTGCCTCATTTAACAATTTCCTTTGGGCACTTAACCCAGGGCAAGCAAAGTATTTTCCATATCAGTAGTGTGTGGTCTTCACAGATATCCAAGGTGACGAGTCTGCCACGGCAACAAGAAGGGCCTGCGGTCTGAATTGGCGTAGAAGGAGACAGGTGTTGGTATTTTTCTACAAAACAGGAGGAAACAGTCCTTTTGTTGCCTAAGTTACAGGGAGTCGGAGGGGGGAAATTATGAATGAAACCCCTTTTCCTCAATAGAGTGTTTCAAAGGATCGCAATTCTCAGACTTTTTAAGTTAAAAGGCATAATGCAGTTATGATTCTGTAAGTTTAGTCATTATTTTATCATTGGGTCAGATAGCTTTAGTGGTGCATGGATAGCTGGTTGAGAATCATTTTGATGGTACACCTCCAACGCCGGACAAGGAATTAGTAAACTGGAATGAAAATACTGAACAACTTATTCAGGCTATACAAAACTTTTTGGACTTTGGTGTTGGGACACTTGGATGATTAAAAATGGACCACACAAAGGACCATTTGGTGTGACTGACAATTGGAATATCCACAGTTGACCATGAAGAATGTTGGATAAGCTGATCGACGGTTTACGTATATATTTTTCCATTTCATTTGAGCCATTTGCATTGAGCTGGAAGAACCGAGGAAAACCTACACCTTACGCGCATTTCACTTTGAAATGATGCGCCCATGAGGAAGACAAACCATGGACCTTCATACCATGAACAAGGTAAAGTATCTTCTTAAAATGTATGTTTAAATCTCTTCTTTTTTTTGGTCTTTTTTGGGGGGGGGCAGCATTTGTTGTCTAATTGGACTATCATTGATAGTTGCTTTACATACAATTCACTTTCAGAAATGTCCTTAACCAAAAATAAATCATACAAGTAGGAGTATAGTTTACCATTTTTATATTTAAACATAAACAGATTCAAAGAAGTTCTATGTCACAAAGTGGATATTTATTTATATACAAAGTAGCCCATATTGCCAATGGTATTTTCTTAAATCAGAATTTTTTTTTTTTTTATCTACACTTACTCTAATTGCACCTGGTTTCTGTCCAAGACATTGCCTGGAATGTAGTGTTTATCAAAGCATGCTGCAATGTCCTGCGAATATCTGCTCACCTTTCGTTGATCCTCCCCCTCACGCCACAGTAGATTTCTTTGTTGCGAGATTGCTCTTATGACATGTCATCCAATGGTTCATGACCTTGGACGAACTCCATGTGTGTGATGTGTCACTCTAGCTGCATCTTCAATACAGAGATTGATTACACAACAACGTTTTCAACTAAAAACTGAAAACTTTCTATTCGTTTTGGCCATTAATTTACACAACAACGGCATTCTGGGTGCTTGAAAATGCAAACGTTTGAAAACAGAATTCAAAGTGCAAGTTTTTGAAACCGATAGCGTTATCGTCTCCATGTAAACTACAAAAACACAAATTTGTGAAAGACGGGCATGCACATGCGTATTACGTGTTCAGTCTATGTGCGTAGTTTTTCTTTACAAAGTGACATCGCCAACTACTGGCCTGGCAGCAGAATACAGCGTTTTTAATCGTTTTCTCGGATGTGTGTGAACGGGGATCGTTTTGACAATGTTGTTGTCTGTATGCAAGAACGCAAATGAAAAACCTTTCCGTTTTTAGTACATCGTTGTTGTGTAAACGTACCCTAAATGTTAATATTAAGTGTTATTTTATGTGTTTTTATCTAAGATTAATATCAGGGGTGATATGTTAGTGTTTAATGTTCTGTTATGTTGGTTATATTTATAAAGGTTTATGATATGTTTGTTTTTAGGGGGTTGCCATTGTGGTGAAGAGTAGAGTTAGTATGGGATGATTTTAGTATCAAAATGATTAACACGTGCAAGCACACTTATCAATGAACTTGATACATGTTGCAGAAATGTTTTATCCATGCCTTTCAACTTGTGTGTGCAAAATTCAAAATTGAATGAATGTGAAGCAATTTGTACAAATAGAGACATTTTTGTGAATACAAATGTTTTCCTTTGTATTAGTGTATCATAATTTGCACATGCAACACAGAAGACGTGCATGTGTGGATCAGGTGACGCGCGTGCATTCATTGACTCGATTCATTGAGTCGATCCTATTTGATTCATTTGGATTTTGAGACTTTCATTTCGCGGGTTTCGCCTTGCACGATCCACACACAGCTGTCTGAGAAAAGCTGCTACCACTAGATGGCAGTATTCTGCTAAAACAGACAACGGCAGCATAATCAAGCGTTCTTCCGCATTTAAAGGGTCACTCCACCCATTTCAACATTAATCTTTATTGAAAGTGGGTTATATATGTAGTCGAAATGTAAAAGAAATTTTAAATTTGGTGCCCTCTTGACCGAGAAAAGACAGAAAATAACTTTGGGGCGCATTTGTATGTAAGACAACAACTCCCACAATGCACCATGTTGCACAGCTCCGCAAGCCACTCCCACTAATCCAGAACAGCGCAAACATCAGAGAAATCGCTCTTCCGTCTACAAGAAGGCTAGCTGCCAAATGAGTTTAAAATTCATTTCACAAAAAATGTCTAGTTAGTTGTGGCGAGCAGGACGAGGGCGAGGGACGTGAGAGGACGACGCGAGTGATAATGAATGGCACCTGTGCAGCGGTCTCATATCTCTCACGGAGGAGCGGAAGCACAAAAGGAACAGGCCTGAT